ATATTACTTTTATTGTATTTGACACGTACATCCTATTTGAAAGTGTTCTCCATGTAAGTAACACCAGCTTTGTATTACGTGACTTGTCTCGAGGAATGCAGACGAGATAAAATTGCTTGAAACGCTCGTGTGTTTATCGTAACTCATGCTGTCATTTTACATTAATCGATTCTTTGATGTTGTTTGAAATGAAAGAATATTCTTATTAATTGCACAGGCTGGTATCGCCGGTGCCCTGGCTCAACTAACATTGGGCGAAGTAAGAAGCGCCGAGCAAGTAGCTTTTGAGGAGCACATGAGGAAGCAAAGCTGGGAACAAGGACAGATCGACTATATGGGTCGCGATAGTTTTGATAACATATGGAAAAAGATCTGCGAGACGCTCTCTCTCGCGCCGCAACGGGAGCCAACTCCACCTACAGAGGTAATTTAATTATAATATATTTATCTTGATGAATATATTTAGAAATTACTGTAGCTTATGCTAGAATTGTAATAATTAAAACACCGACAGTTATTTTTGAGCCATTAAATAATTGGATCTAAAAAAAGTTGAATAAATAAGGATAAATATTTTGATAATGAATAATTCATATCACGATAAATATTTGTAGGATATCGCTACTTTGGAGACTGCTATAAAAGAGACTGCTGCAAAAGAGACTGCTGCAAAAGAGACTGCTGTCAAAGAGACTGCTGCAAAAGAGACTGCTGATATCAAAGTGGATAAACCAGCCGGTATGTCTCGCTATTATAAATGAAATCGCGTTATTATACGTAAATAAATTCGTAATAAGAACTCGTATTCGAAATGTATTTATCCAAAGTAGAAGATAACCATATATCATAAATTAAAATATTTCATTATATTTTTAAAATAATTTAATGTGCTTACGATACAAAGCCATTAACTGTTTTCCTCGAGTATATGCTTTGCGTTTTTGTTTGTTTTTGTTCCATTTAATAGCATGCGATAATCAATTTCATAATTTCAAATTGAAAACGTTGAGCGAGGAAATGATTAAAAGTCAATATATTATATTAAACGAGAATTTGTTACGTCGAGCGAGAAGTACGAAACGATATATTCTTGTTAATGCAATTTATCTAGTTTGAGTGTTTGTGAAACAGGAACAGAGGACAGCAACTAACAGATCCTGGCACCATAGCATTGCTGCGTCTTGTAATGTCGTTTTGCTTTAATGGGGTAAATATTTTATGTACTCACACACCAAACATTTGATCACTTACTTTATTATTCTATACTTCAGATGACTGAATTATGTAAACGATATATACTATAGTCTAAAATTTTAGTTAGATACTTTAAAAAAATTTTTAATTACACTTCTTTTGTTATTATTTAATTATTAAATATATAAACGAAAAATTAACATTGTTTTTTATTTTACATATTAAAAATTTTTCTAGCTTGTTTAAAAAGAATTTTTTTAAAATATTGCATTTTTAAATCAATGAATTTTATACACCTTCAACATACTTTTAAAGTTATTATATGTATACTGGATGTCTTGAAATTCGAGAACCACAACAAGAAAGTTCGAAAAAATAAATTGTAAAAAATTTGTGACTTGTCGTTTCGAATAATTTTTAAGACATAAAGGTTAAAATTAAACGGCCATTTGTTCGTCAGTTATACATTGATGTCGATAACATTATCAACGCACGGCTCATGGCCGTTCAAACATAATCTATAATTGTCCAGTTTTTAATTTTTCTGTCTTAAAAATTACTCAGAACGATAAATGATAAATAATTTTCATAACTTACTTTATAATAGCAATATTTTTATAACTTATTTTTTTGACATTTCATTGCTGCAGTATTTTGATTCGCGAATTTCGAAATCCTTATATACATCCTGTATAACATGATGTATATAATATAAAATGTATAATACGAACAAAATGTGTGAGGTACAATTCAATATGAATACTTTGAAAATTAATATTTTGCTTTTATATAAATAACACGCCTTTATGAAACGTAATTCTTTACTAATTAAATATTTTGCGGAATATTGCTTCTTTAATTCGCTACTATATAATCGGCTTTCATTCATTTTGCAAACAAGCATAATATTTGTCATGCATAATATTTGCGCAATATTAAGCTATATCCATTACGCTTTATATGCTTTATATTAACGAAACGAGCACATGAACATTATTTATATTTGACATGGATACATTTGGTCTGCCAAAATGCTTAGCAAACGTATTATATTATTATTATTGACTGTTTATTCATGGTTTACTTTCATATTCGTAGCATATTTTGTTATATTATTATATTATAATCGGAATCGGATTTTCTCACTATCATCAATCATCGCCTATTTTGCCTAAAATCACGAAATATAACATTTGTAATATATGATCTTTTCAATATTAATCGATCATTACTTTTATTTAAATTAATAGAAAAAAAACGGTTTCTATTTACCGTATAGTATTTTGCACGATTTCTTCTCTTAATTTTTTGTTAAAATAGTTCTTTCTGTTAGTCCATATTTACATATATATCTGTCACTTTCATTCTTTCTTCGTTCAGTTGAAGCCGACAAGGATCCAACGCAATCTCTAATATGCGAAGTTTCTAAAGAGGAGAAATTTTCGGCAGCAATTCTCGAGCAAGAAGTTCCCGCGTTATCTTCCAAGAAAACGGTAGAAGCCACCGCAAAAATATCCGACGATCCGATAAAATTCGAAGACATTTGTGCGAAACCGACATCTGAATCAAAGGATGCAAAATCGTGCGAAATCCGTACTGAAGTGCCTTTGCCGCAACAGCCAGCAGAACCGTTGCCCGCAAAAACAACTGCGGAACCGTGCGAACTTCCAAGTTCGCAAACGCCACAAGAAGCGGCACCTCAAAGCGCAAGCTTTCTCCTCGAAGCAAAAGAATCGAAGCAACAAATTGATTCGCAAATATCCCCCTTGATCTGCAAACTACCTGTGCAAGAAACAACTGCGCCAGTTACGCAAATTAGTACCGAGTCAGTGCCTACTAGGGCCAAACCAGAAACCCCAGCTTCCACTCCTCAAGATACAACGCAGCCTATAGCCCTGACTAGTGTAGACAGTCCGCAGATTACTGCAACTTCTCCTGTAACAAGCCAAGCGCCAATAGAAGACATGAAATGTGTAATCGAATCCGCGCCTGACGTAACACAACCTCTCACGATAGATCCGGGCGAGCAGCACGCGGAGATGCTATTGGCGGCTTCTGAGATCTCCACTGTGAGTCCTGTGCCTATTCAAGTGGCAGAATCGGTTCTGCAGGCTGAACCTAAGGAATCCGTGTTGGGCGCAGCTGTAACCGTGAGCGATCAAGCGATTGCCTCGACGGTCACAGCTGTGCATGAATCCAAGGATATCGCTTCTGCACCGATCCCGACGGAACTTGTTCAGTTAAACGGATCGGCTTGTGAAATTGAGAGACGCGACATTTCTGATCTATCAGAAAAAATGGATGTTCCTTCTGAGGCGATCAAGGAACTAGCGAGCGATTTGGTTGCTAGGGATCTACCATCAGAGACAGTATCGGCTACTGAAAAGATATTAATCAGTAGCAATGTGGGGCCTTTAGAAACAACATCTGTAGAAGAATTAACGGAACAGGTTGCAAAAATAAAAGTGGCAGAAATAAAAGCTCCAGAACAGAAGCTGGAAACAGAAGAAGTAAAACCTTCGGAGCTGATTACCAAGACGGAAGTTGTGGAAGAGAAGTCTGCGGAGCAAGTTACTGAGACAACGGAAACGATCGTGAAACAAGCGGAAACAGTTGCACAAGCTGAAATAACAAAAGTACCGTCTATTGAACAAACAGAAGCAACGGAAGCACCAACAGCGAGATCACCGAGTGAAGTTTTGGCATCGCCAATCGCTGAACAAAGTCCACCGGCAGAAGAACCCATTGAAGCGAAACCGCCAAATGTTCCATCGACGCCGACGGTAACCGAGGCCTCTCCACCGATTAGTCCGTCCGTGGAGAGTGCACAGGAGATGGAGGAGGCCGCGAAGAAGAGCCTGAAGAAGTCTGACTCAGCGGACGGTGCCGATGGGGAAGGTGCAGACAAGAAGGCGAAAAAGACGGTGAAGAAGGTAACGAAGAAACCGAAGGCAAAACCCGAGGAGGCGGCACCCTCAACCGCGACGGAGAGCGCCGCCGCGGACGGCTCGCAGAGCAAGACGAAGAAGACCGTGAAGACAACAATGAAGAAGACCGGCGCGAAGAGCCTGGAGGCCGACACAAGCATACCGGAGACCCCACCGCCGCCAACCGGCGCCGTCGACGCGCCAGTTCCGCCCAAGCGGAAGACGAAGAGTACGAATGCAAAAGGAACCGGTAAAAAATCTGAGACGGAAGAGTAACTGGTCTCAGTCCAAGTCAATTATTGTCTCAAACAGTTCAGGAGTCCAATATGGAAAAAACAGTTTTGCTAAAATATAAAATAAAAATTTAGATAGATACAGATCTGAAAATAATTTATTAGATTATCAAAATAATTATGTAGAATGTCTGAGCTGGTATTGCTTAGAATATTGAGGAATATTGATTCTAAACTTTTTGCTTATTATGAGCGTTCTACATAATTATTGAGACAGTTCAACAAAATTATTTTCAGATCTGTTTGTAGTTAAATTTTTAGATATTTCAGCAAAATCTATCTTTCTATGGAGAGACCGATTAAGAGGCGAAGACCCTCCAAATATTCGCGTTGAATATCAAGAATATATATATTGAGGTCTTCAATCCTTTCGAGACCTCGCGTTTTTAGAAAATTAGTATTTTTGCGCATATACTCCTTTTTTACGGTTTTCTTAAAAGATTCCCTGTAAAATGTGATTAGCGATCTCTGCTAGCCGCAAAGCGTAGTAGACGTGAAGATTGTCGCGACATAGTTTAAACATTGTCTCGAAAGGATTAAAGGACATGTTAGAAGATCACACTCGCTAGTCTGTTACGGTTTTTTTCTTTTTTTTATACTTTTAATATATATATCTCGCGAGAGTTTCTATATCGTTGAGCTTCGATACCATATTCGCCGCGGAGGTATCGAGCGATACTGAGAGTTTAATCGACGACGCCACAAATGAATCATATTTATACGAGCCGCGTTACTTTACTTGTCTTTTTTTGTTTCTTTTTTCTCTCTTATTTTTAATTAACGATATACTCGCTTCCCTAAGGTTTGTTCCTATTTATCTTGTTAGATTCTTTATTTGTGTAATTACCGTTTCCTCGAGTCAACGTTGCTCAAGAATCGCACATCCTGAAATGATGATGAGCCCAGTTTCATCTGAGCAACATGAGTTCGAGTATCTTATTGCGAGCGATTATTTTATATTTGTTTATCCGCTTCAAAGAAAGTCTGTTAGATCATGTCACAAAAACGAAGATGGGAATCGCAAACTGCGATTGATTCTTGTAAAGCTACCTCGGGAAAAAATGTTTCATATATAATATATAATTTCGTAATAATGTTTTATATATAATTATATAAATAATAATGTTTTATAT